CAGGGCCGCCACATGCTAAACTAGTGGAGAGCAGCACTATATGACAAGAAGAGCTGACTTGCCACCTTCGGTTTCATCTGATTCGGGCAGAAGAACAGAGCATGGAACAATTTTATCGGACAGATGCAGTTTCCACTCGGAGCTACACGTTCTCAGTCCTCCATCGCCGAAAATCCCGCGTTCCTTCTTCTTTATGGAAACCACTAGAAGAGCTACACTAGCTACGGCTTTACAAAAAATTGGGTTTCAAAATCAGATTATTCTTCAGACGCTACAGAGTTCTAGTTATTGCAAAACCTTGGTGACAAATGGGACTGGAAATAACAACATATAACAACAGAGCTCTGACAAGCGCCTTCATCTGTGGGCAACAACTGTAATTCGATTCAATTACAGGGCAGCAAGCAGTACTGCATTCAACTCCATCGCGTACAGCTTCATTTTGGATTTGGTTTTCCCTGAGCGCACTTTGTAATCTGCTCAGTTTTGCACTGAACTCTATATTCAGCATTGTTGGCATAATGGAAAGGAATGGAACCTTCAGGGTAATCATTTTGAGCTCACTTGTCAAGCATGGATTCGTTGAACCATCCGGATATTGAAAGCAGTCAGGATTTCAGAACTCCTTCTATGCAATAGTTATCGTGTTCTCGCTGATTGTTGCGGTGAGCAGCTGTTGCAGGCTCACCTATGAGTTCGTTATAGCTTTTACTGATGTGCAGTCCAAGGGTATTAGTTGCTTCTCGGTGATTGCGGACCTGGCTACGTCGCAATCAACTGCTTTACTTATGTTTTTACTAGGGCTAAACCGTTATGCAGCGTTTTCCTCACCATCTCTCTACGAACGACTATCGAAAAGGTGGGTCAGAACCCTACCCGTACACTCTTTGGAATCAATGAATTTCTTCACCGCCGCTTTCAGGAAGACGATGCGGTGTGTTCTTCTTGGGCTTGTTGTGTTTTCCATAATGGACGCAATTCTGATATACAACATAGGTGGATTAAAGAGAGCTTTCGAGGAAGATACCGTGGTGGATTATGCTAGCGAAGTTGTTTTATTTCAGGTGGGGCAATATCAGGGCAATATCACGGTTAAAGAGATACGAATTTTTCATTTGATCCAATGCATAAATTTTTCTATATTCCACAAACTCTGTGGCACAGTTTTATTATTTATAGAGTGGTATGGTTATCTTCCAGGTGTCGAACTATATATTCCACGCGCTTCCTCTCGTTTCGTCTGTTTTCTACATAGCCGCATATTTATCTCTACGTTCAAAAAGAGAAGACGCTATCAGTAATAACACAATATCCCTTTTGGACAGCGCGCCGAGAAAATTACGTTAAATCAGGGAATATGGATTCTCATAATATACTTCGTGCGTTTTTTTGAATCGAACATTATATCCCATATGAGCTCGCTTTTCACGTTGTAATCTAAGGTGGAAAGGATAAAGGAGGCGGAGATGGTGTAGTGACAAGTGGGGCGCTCACCATTCGCGCGGTCCCGGGTTCGAATCCCGGGTCGACTCCCGCCCAGGCCAACCAAGCCTTCTACCCTCGGGGACGGAATTATCATACTGTCTGGGAGGATAAACACTGACTTGTACATCGGCTGGCCACCGCAAGTCATTGTATAGGCCACATCGCATTCAATAACCCACTACGATTCTGAATGGAAGTAGAATGCGTGCCGCATCCCACAAAGGGATTGATCAACGGCGAAGACTTTATCCTTTTATTTATAATCTAAGGTGGAATGCTTGATTGAGGGTGTGTACAGTATGAAGTACAGGGTACGTTCCTGTACAGCATTTTTGATAGGAAACCTAGAGCAGAGGGCCCTGAGTGAAGAGATCTAATATGCAGCTCCCTGTTGAAAATCAACGTAGCACTTAAAGGCAGTTGGCACGATAAATCGTTATACAGGTGTAGGATTTGTTCAACTGGCTTAACAGAATTCCGTGACCTCGGACAAGTGCTGCGTGACTCCTAAGGAGGCACCTCTATAGTACCCGTAATAGCCAACAATTTTATCATACCGTCTCAAACGCCGTTGCTTGCCGCCCCCTCGCCCACACAACGGGACCGTTTCCGACACTCGTGTTCATTCATTTGCATTCTTAAATAGAATCTGATGGTTCGGTATGAAGCGACGGTGATGTCCAGCTCATATATGGGTACACATATGCAGCCGTACCTTCGGTAGCGGTGATTGGCAAGATGCGTACGGGAAACTCGTCCGAAATCGATTTATAAGCCACTGAGGACCTTTCTTCGCTGGATTTGACCGTTTCACTCCGTTTTTTTTCGCCATTTCCCCACTATACAGCGCCCTACTAGCATTTTAGGCTAAGTAGGAAACCATCGTGCCAACTGCCTTTAACCTTCCTCAATGTCAGAGGGACAGAGAGTGGAACTCCATGCCGTTCATAATAGACCGTTACATAGGAGCGCATCAAATACGTTATATTCTAGTAGGTAACATGACTTCTAACATCTCGGCAATCCATCGGTAGGGAATGGAGATTTGCCAGAGTAGCTAAAGACATCTTGGAAGAAACCTCGGACTACCTTAGTACGCCCTATGGAAAAGCGATTTTTTTTTCTTATGACCAACTCGTTGGGACTCACATAATATCGGGGTATTTATCAAGCGTTGGAGCCAACGTCATGAAACGAAGGCGTATGCATTAGGCCCCTCATTAAGTTACATTAAGTGGCGTCCAGCTGAACATTGAGCATGGAAGTTGTTAAGGAAGCGACAATCCCGGAAGAGGTGCAAAAGCGGCTCAAAGTAATCACAAAACACTCATTAACGAGAGATGATGATCGAGCCTAATTGGGTTGTGGCCACCGCTCAAAATCTTCCTAATGCTGTAGCCAAGCAGTCCAAGTTCCTGTGACAGCAAACCCATTTGTTTTTTCATAAATTCGTCCGTTGTCTGACGTTCCAGTGGGGTCCTACGCAGCTACGATGCACATGGACATTCGTTGACAGTACTAGCGAACCAAAGTGGTATCCAGTAACGTCGGATGACCAAATGAATCCTTTTAGATTTCGCTGATCATACATGTAGCAATGCAATTTCTGCCAGTGGATGGTGTCTCGTTCGTCGTTCTGTCTTCCCTGGAAACTCTCTCATCCGCAGCTCCGCAGATCGGCGTTCCCGTCACTGTGCTGCTATGCTCTAAAGACGCCCGAGACGTCACAACGCGTATCTGCTGGGCAGCTGTGAGTCATACCTTATTGCTAGGTAAACCAAGAGACCATTCAACGTTCCGCGGCAAAACAACAACACCTCTGAGCCCGCAAGTTTACGTTTCGCGTTCCTGAAACAGCATTGCCGTTGTTTTTCTGCTATCCATCTACAAACTAAGAATAGCAGAAAAACTTGTCACCCCACCGCCAGCAATCTTTACGCAGTAGTAGAATGTTCGTGTGCCACCCTCAAAAAATTGATCTCTGGCCATTTCTTTTGGAACGGATCAAAGTTTCTGGGGCTCTGTTATGCAGTAGGGCTAAACAGCCATCATGATGCTACTTGTACGAAGTCCCAATGTTTACCTTCGTTCCCGCAACAACGGAACGAACGACCACTTTGAGTTTGAATTCTTGTTTTGCATTGAATTCTCGCTAACTGCTTTGGCTTTTTTCTTCCTATAAGCTTTGATATAGTGAAACTGATTGAGTATAAATTTTTTCCCTAAGACTCTTTATACAGATAATTGTAGCCGTGACTGGCGTGAGTTGCACATTTCGTTGCACGCACAAAAGCACAAATATCAACAATGTGAGCTTAGAAAAAAAGACACAAGTAAAAATTCCGATAATAGCACACGGTTTTCTTCCACACGAAACAACAGCGCAAGGGGTGTACCACCCTATTTACTAAGGCTCATAACTGCGTTATCAGCAATCACACATAGAAAGGCACAAATCTTAATAGTGTTAGTCTATAAAGTAATAGAGATATGCAAAAATGGAAATGAAAATCTCGAATTTCTTGGAAATGAAACTGGATTGTTCTTACCAGACATGGTACACGGCAAAATTTGATAGTGTAATTCATAAGTTTTCCCCTCACAGCACAACAGTTGCCTGCCACTGAGACGCAGTCGAAATCAACCTTCAAAAGACATGAGCTGCTCGTACAATAGGATATGATATTTGTTGAACTCTTAGACGCCCACTATGCGATAGCCCAAAGATTAAACCTTCTTCATTCATTAGGTATGGTTAGTGCACCGTTTGAAAGTGTACCACTTTGACCATACGAACCTGATATTATTGTTCTTGAGCTCCGGAATAAACTTTCAGCTGCTGGATCTGCGGCACATTTGTGAGCTTCTTCCGTTGCACTCATAAAGGCACAAAAATCATCAATGTGAGTCTAGAAAATGAGGCGCAAGCAAAAAAAATCCGGGAAATAGCAGCTGGTTTCTTTTTAATAATATCAACCATTCGGGGACCAATGCAAGAGTGTACCCCGAATGGTTGACATTATTGTTCTTGAACTCAAGAGCATAGATGTCGACACAGCCGGTTTTTCTGTACCACTTCACTTGATGCTGACCACTGTGAGGGGGTCTGTGAGCTTTCACTTGGTAATGTGATCTAAACAGCTGCACTGTTGTGTGGGCACAACACTCACATATCGTGAGACCAGTCTTACCATTAGGCGTTACAAATGTTTAGACACAGCCGCCATCAAAGGCTTGGGCCGAGAACAGCGCGAAAACAACAAATTCGCATGAGCCGCGCTCTTGAAAAAGCTCTCTAATGGGAAGTTTGTTTTTTCGATTGTTAAATTACACATCAGTTATTCAGAATCATGCTGAGTTTTCAAACATTGAGAACCAGAAATTTCGAAAACTATCCCAATGACGGAGCTCAGACGAGCAGAGGAGCATCACATTAGCTTCCAGGTCGCTGGTGGAGAAAAAAAATTAAGTTGTTTGTGAAAAAAGTCCGTTGGTGAAGGAGAAATAAAATCACACATCAGCAATAGAACCACAAATTTCTGCCCTCCGCAGGCATTTTGAGCGGTGGTGTTGCATACTTCAGCAAATGCATTTTCACCCATTATACGCAAGAAAACAAAACCAGAATGCAAGTCTGAGCACATCCAGAATGTATTATTGAAGTCATCCCGCGACTAGTTAATCGGTAAAAGTGCTGGTTATACTCGTACATCCTTAGGCAGCGTTAGCGCTACGTAGCGCTACGTAGCGCTACAGCTTAGCGAACTCCTTCTTCCTTTTATGTTTTTTTTTGAATTCAACCCTTTTCTCTTTGTTTCTCATATCTGATGCTGAGCTCCTGTTTTCTACTTTATCACATTTTAATGTAGTTTTTGATACAGAACACTGTAATAATTGGCTGTTCATTGGCACCACTGCAAGACATCAAGCAAAGAAATCAAACATCAGTAGCAACTCTGAAACCAAATAATTAAAGTCAAAACGATAAATAAAACCAATTATCACAGTCTTCTGTATCAAAAACTACATTAAAATGTGATAAAGTAGAAAACAGGAGCTCACTATCAGATAAATATGAGAAACAAAGAGAAAAGGGTTGAATTCAGAAAGAAAAAACATAAAAGGAAGCTGGAGTTCGGTACAACTGTAGCGCTACGTAGCGCTACGTCGCGCTACAAGTCTGAACGCTGCCTTACGATGGGAACTGCGGGTCCACTGAAACTCACCGTTTTGTCCCTCTGCAGTGCGTGGCATGGGCAGGAAGGAGTGCAGTACTAGGCTTTAGCGACATCGACCTCTTTTGGACGGGTTTCAGTTTCAGACCGCTGTTTCACGCATGTTTTGTGAGCGATGCTCTCTCCCCAACTGGTTTATAGCTCTCCTACACGCCTCAAGGCTTGCTACTATTGATGTGTTAGGTTGACTCGAGAGTAGCCCGACATTTATGGATGTCCTCATTCGGAAAGGTTTATCGGCCAGCTGTTCGATCTTCCGGGCACTTCGAAGAGCCGTTGATAGAGAAAAGAACGGTCTACAGAAGCATAAACTCCATCTTAGCAACGTCATGTTGTTCTTGTTCATTAACGGCCTTAATTCTAACGATTCCCACGTCCACCTGCAGGTTGTTTATAAGCAGAATGCGTCCCCAGCACCGTCTATACTTGGTTCACCAAGTATAGAAAGACGAGAATTCCTAAGAAGATACGCGCAGCGCGCACAACGCTGTGGATTTGGACGTACCACGGGAGCAGCGGAGGTGGACCCATACCACACACTTGAGCTGTCCGCCCAGCTTGATGTTAGCCAACCGACGGTGGTCCGCGCATTGAAGCCAAAAGGAAATGTTCAAAAGTTTGGCCGAT